ACAGCGTGCAGGCATGCGTGCCGCATTTCTGCGTAGAGACTGGCGCCGTGGCGCTGCCCCTTGCCTGCGTTCCACTAGAACCCTGTAGCCAGGTCTTATAGCACGCCATCTACATCCTACAACAGTAACCCCTCATCTATACGTCACGCACCCGCCACCCTCGCATTTAAGTACTCGCTTTCAGATCCTGCATGTTTCATCTGCCTAAACCTACGATTGCAAGCAACACCGTCACGAAGCTGCTCGAGGCGAGACTGTAAGAAAGACCGATTGTCTGTCTGTCCGGACAGAAGACTGTTATCTTTTTATTAAACATCACTGGGGGGCGGTTCTTGTTTTTTATATCACTCGCAAGATCCTCAGGCAGTCGCTCGGCACGTGGTACAGAAAAGCTTTCTTAAACTTGTGATGACCCTTTAGACCCTTTAAAATTGTGCAATAATCAGGTTCCTTTCTCCTTTCTCAGGACTCTTTTCTGAAGACAAATTTGTGCTGGAGCCATATAACTAACGCAAGCCGTGTTAGTGTGCAGTGTCCGCCAAGCGGAGAATTTTATATATGTATTCAACCGTCAGTGATGCTGGAATTAGTATACATAATTAAAGATGCCAGTGTTAGCCAAGAGAATTTATATATATATATACATATATATATATATATATATATATAAATATATGTATGTAGTATTTATGTAAGAGCTTTTTATTTTGCATTTCACAATAGTGGGATTTTTAAGGTCCAAAGGTCCTGTTTCAATGTTTTCCAAACATTCCTTAAAAGGTCAATTTGTGCTGTTTATGTGTTGTGTTTAGTTGCCAATTAATTATATTTATGTCGTGTATATATAAATCACTCAGCTGGGGACGTTTGTACAATATCTTTTGACTGCGTTTATAGACAATAGCTTCTTACTGAGTAGTCTTTGCTAAGTGAAAACATGTTTAAATAATATGAAAATGAGACAAAATCAACAGTTTTTTTTATTGTAAATGTGGTTTTAACCATTTAATTTACAGATTTTCTTCACTTATTGATCCGAAGCGTTTCTTAACTGATCATAATTTAAATATTTGTCCTGTTTTACTTTCCATTGAAACTTGTATCAATGATTTCAGGAGTGTTTTTAATGGTTATGAACCCTTTTGTTTACATGTAAGATCACAGACTGTGCCTTTAACTGTGTGTCGCAGTCCTGAAATAAACGTCTCTTGTGCAGCGTCTGTCGAACTTTGAGAGTGTTTTTTTTATTAGTTTGGTGCTCGCAGAGGTTGTTGGAGTTAAATTAAAGCTAAAACAAGGTGTGAAAAGTAGATTTTAGTAAACTAACTGAAACAATATTGTCTACTTGTGTAGAAAAGTAAGTAAAATAAGATTTAAATATATCTTTAGTTTTGTCAATTTGGTCAAATTATTCAACAAAACAAGCATGAGGAGGCATTTCTGTATATGTTTATCAGTGTGTTTGTGTTATAATACCTATTATAAACTTACTAAATCAGACCCCTGTCATATTCTATATACATATTATATTAAAAAAAAACTAAAACTTACACTGAAACTAATAAAAATAATTTTTAAACAATAAAAACTAAACTGAATCAGACTGAAAACAACAATTAAAATAAAAACTAATGAAAAATACAAAACTATAAAAAAGGCTAAATGACAGTTAGCTTACTGGTTACTTCAGTGCTGGAATGTAACTAAGTACATTTACTCAAGTACATAAGTACATAAATTCGAGGTTCTTTACTTGAGTCCAAAAAAGCAGCAAATTAATCAATAATGAAAATAATCATTAGCAGCTAATATATCTAAAAAATAGCTTCAACAACCACAAGAGAAAAATGTTTATATCAAATATTTATAAAATGAATTATAAAAATCAATTAATTACGTTTTTTAATATATTTAGACTAAAATAACACAATTTGTATTATTTCCCCCCCAAAATATTTAACATTTCCCCCTTTTTTTAACTAGTTAATGTGCAATAATGCACATTTAAAGGGTAAAATAAAGGGAAATTGATATCTTAGACCTCTTTTATTATTGTTTATCTGTAGATTATTGGTCCAAAAGCATACCTGTGAGTGATTATTGATCCTAATACTTTAAATGTAATGGAGTAGAAGTAGATATAACAACAAATCTGCTGCTCTGCTTCAGCGTCCAAATATAAACACGGTTCTTTTCCTCTCGTTCCTCTTCACTCCCACTCGGCCGTGACTCATTTCTGTTTTCCAGCTCCTGAATTTATTCTTTCTGTGTCATTTTTTAAAAATATTCATGCAGCTTATGTGTTAGAAATAACTCAACGTATAGTTTGTGATGTAGGTATTAATCAATAAGCAGTAGTATTGATTGATCAAAGGCTGGTTTCCATTAAATGGGGATTAACTCACAACAACAGCTGTAAAATTGTAATTAGGTTAGGGTCATTAATAAGTTAAACTATTGAATAGTTTGACTTATTATCTCCAAATATTGATAAAGTTTCTCATTATTTATAGATACTGAGTCATTATTTTGAGAATTGTTCTCAATTTTTATAGATATGTCAAAAATATTAATAAAGTGTCGAATTATTTACCAATAATATGTCAAATTATCGAGGTTTCGTATTATTACTTTACTTTAATTATTATATTATTATTATTAGGTACTAAGTCATTATTTTGAGAAACTTTCTAAATTTTTATAGACAATTAGTCAAATATTTATTATTATATATGAATAATAAGCCAAAATATTGATTATTTTGACTTATTATCCACAAATAATGAGAAACTTTCTCATTTTTTATAGATAATTATGTCAAAATATTGAAGTTTCTCATTATTTTGAGAAACTTTCTCATTATTTTGACTGACAGGATCCTTTTTGTTTCTCACTGGCAGAACTTCCATAAAAATAAAATAAAACCAAACAACAACCAGCTGCAGCTTTTAGAGCATTTAAAAACAAAAACATGCAATGTGCATCAATCTGGTATCCGGATGTCTCTCTCTCTCTCTCTCT